TTTTTTCAATATTCATTTTCACTATTTATAATGTGGTATTATAAAATTTAAAAAAAAAATTGATAACAAGAAAATAATTTTATTTTAAAAATGAAAATCTTAATTTAAATAAAACTTATTATTATTACTGTATAATAATCGTGTAAATATAATAAATTTTAGAATGTTAAATTTGGATTTGCATCATAATGTATTTTTTCATTAACAATAGAAAATGATAATTATGAGATATTATGAATTTCAATTTTTCAGATATTTATAAAAATGAACTTGAAAAAAGAAGGGAAACATAATAATAAAAAAAAGTGAGATTAAAAAAAAATTTTTTTTTTTAAATTTGAAATTGTGCTTCTCATAGAGTTAGAAAATAATATAGAGAAATAAGTTCATATATTTATAAACAATAATTTTTTTTTTTGGAATAATTAAATAAAATATATAAGTATATTAAATAAAAGCAAATATAAAAAGAAATGGCAACAAATAATTTCATAATTTGTGTCAATAAAAGTATCTTATTGCAGAATATCTAAATTTCAACAAAATGAAAAAAATCCTTCAGATCTGTATATTCATCAATTATTTCATTATAAAAATATTTCATTATCAAAATATTTAAAATTATTTAAAAAATCAATATTGAAAAATTTCATTAAATGCTTTTCAAATAATTAAAATTATTGTAATTATAATTTTATATATATTATAATTTCCAACAGATCAGAAGAATGAATTTTGCACAATTTGAAAAAATAAAATTCAACAAGCAAAAATATTAAAAACAAATACGCACAGTATTATTGCGAATTTGACATTTTCAATTTTTAACTTTGCTCCTAACTTTGATCATACTTTGCACTATTCGAGATTTCACGTTTTGCTATCGCTTTTACTTATTCATACATGCTTGTTTGCTTATCACTCTCATACACACATCTGCCCCCCTTCCTACAATCATTCTCTTTTATATTCTCCCATACCAACTGCCGTACTCATCATTCATACCAATCTCACAGCTTGAAATAACAAGTTAATAATAGAATGAACGATTCAAAATTTCTTTCTACAAAAAAAAAAAAATTTAAGCGACATTTTGAACAATTCAATGTAAAAAAAAAAAAAGAATTCAATAGAAAACGAATTTAATTGTGTGTAAAGAATAAAATACTCAAGAATTTCTTTGACGTTCACACAATTCGAGATTGCACTGTAAATGAATTGTTCTGATACCTTTCCTTTCGATGAATCTTATTTCTTCCATGAAAGGAATCGATTCACGATCATCCCCTTCGTTTTTCACTCTTCACGTGTAAATACTAGATACCTTTATCATGTATTCGTCACGATCAATGAATTTTTTTACAATTGTATTCAAGTTCGTTGAAATGAGAAGAAATGGGAGAATACTTTTATTTGTGTAAAGAACTCAGAAGAAAAAAAGATACAAATGCAGAATCGAAGCTTTCGTAAATATTTAACATTTTAAAAATTAAGAAATAATAAATATTCTTGAAATTTGAATTTCACAATTAATATTCGCACACAAAGTTTCCATTATGCTTTCGCGTTTTTTCCAACACTTTATCAACGATTATCATCAAACGACAACCCTTCTGATATTGATAATAATGTTTTAATAATAAGTTTTAATAAACTCGACTTTAAGATAAATAATTTATAATCAATTTTTATTATCAGTATTTATCTTCAAATTATCTTAATAATTTTTGTTTAAATTCCAGTACATCGAGTAATTTTTAATTGTAATTTTTGCGAATTTATTTCAACAATATGCTAAATTTATGACAATGAAAATTAATAAAAACACTAAAAGCAAATGAGAAAGATATACACTAATATAAATTTGAATTCGACATTAAAATTTTTGAAAAAATAATAATGTTTTTTTTAAATAGGAAAATAAAATGAAAATTATAAAAATTTGAATTCAGTTGTAATGCGAATCTCTTTGAAACACTATCACGACGACTGTTGCTTAAGCTATTATATTTATTTAACTTGTTTTTGCTACGTCTATTCACTGTATGTAATTGTCAATAAATTTGAATTATACTGAGCTCAAGATATTGAATCGTTGGATAAGATTGAATCATTGTAATTCAAGAGAGATATTTCGACTGAAATTTAAGCTACTGCATTAATAAAACACGAATAAGACTTACCAGAATTGAGTCTCTCTTCTTTGGAAAATAAAAAATAAAAAGAAAAAAAGACAATTGATAATATAAATATTGAATGTAGATATAACGATGTGAAACACACTTTTTTAATTATGAATTTCATCTGGTGATACATTCTCTTTTGGATATATTCATAATTTAAATAAAATATAATAAAAACATGTAAATATAAAAAAAACATGCAAAAAAAAATTAATATAATGAAACAATGAAAATTTTTAATTTTTAATTTTGAATGTTAATATGTTCGTAAGATTTTTAGAGATCAATTCAAGAGATTAAAATAATTTATATATGCATATACACGGTTATGACTTATTTATTAAGTTATAAATAAGTAATTGAAGATTATATTAAAAACGAATGAGATAAGTCCAACTCTATTATCTAGTGCCTTGTTTCATTTGATAAAAAGTTATAACTTAATAAATAGATCTCACCCAACATTTTTGTATATCAATTTTTATGTTTGATCTCTAAATGATTGACTTTTAAAGATGAACGAATATATTAACACCTTATATATTATATTAATTAAATGATTAATTACCTTTTTCTGTTGATGTTCTTTATAATATTATTTCTTATCAATCGAGTTTTTTCTGAATTCGTGTATATCTATAAATATCAATCCAGCAAACCACCATAAATAAATCAAATGAGTAAATAAAATAAAAAAATTCTCTTCTTGCTATGCATTTTTTTATTACTGGTCATATATAATATATTTTTAAAATATAAAATATATTTTTGATTTGAAATATGTTTTTGATTTATTATATAAGTTCTCTCATATTATATACTTATAATATTAAATTAGATGAAGCAAGTTAGAAATATCTTTGGGCTCACATAATTAAAAACTTATAGTTTTTTTAATAATTAAAAATTAATAATTGATAACTAAAATGATCCAATAAGTGAGCTTCTAATTATATTTCAAATTTTTATTATTTTCTTTACAATATATTAATTTTATATAATGCTCTTTTTATATTCTCTTTTAATATTTCTATATTTCAAATTATAATATAAAAATTATATCAAATTTGTCGATTCATCTTTGTTTATATTCTATTCAAAGATATTTCATAAATTTTCAATTTTATGATTGCATTTTATTAATTGCAATAAATATGTAGAAATATTAATATCTTTCTCGATAAAATATTATAAGAACCGCATAATATCGATCATTAATCAATAATCCATTCGCTTACAGATTGTCAAGGATTGTTCGATTCTTTAAAAATTATTAGAATTAGAAAGAAGGAAAAATCACTGGAGAATTCTTGTTCTAATTTTGTAGCGATTTCTTATGTTTTTCTTTTATATTTTTAAATAATAATTAATTTGTTAATAATCACTTGATAATCGCTTTGCTATAATATTAGCAACATATTCACTATCGTTATTTCTTGAAATTTATTTGTGAAAATTATTCCAACTATTCCTCATTAAATATCATATCGTTTGGATATTGAAATTTGTTTATAATAGATATCTATCAATTTTTCTAAAGCTCATAAAATCTCGACAAATTACTTGAGTAAATGTTTGGAAAATCAATAATCGGTGACTAGGATTTGTTTACTTATATGATATAATTGTTTGATGTATGTATGAAATAATTTACAACTGACTATTACTGTCAAAAAAGGATTTGAATAGGAAGAAGAAAACAATAATACTTTTTTGTAAAAGGATTGAGAAATCGCGAACTATTTATCTCAAAATCTTAGAAGCGAATTTATTTTTTTATTATTAAACATACATATATATTATTAATAAATCCAGAATAAATATATAGTAAACATAATTTCTTTTAAACATTTTTTTATAACGTATGTAGAAATTACTTAATATTAGTAAAGACATTATATTTTCATTTTTTTTTTTTATTTTGCACACATCCATATTTTCTTATCTTTCTCACACTTGCTTTCCTTTTCACAAATATTTTCTGTTCTTATATTACATTTTTCCATATGATTTTTCTCATCACTTATTATAATCTTAATTAAAATTATAATTAAATAGATAATTCAAAATTTTTTTCTAAAATTTTTACAATTTAAACAATTTATATACAATTTAAAAGGTTAACACAAAAGTGAATTATATAAAAATGTCAATTGAGTTTTATTTATTAAATTATTAAACAATTGAATTTTGCATTAAATAAAACGAAATACATAAATAGAGTAAAATAATTTATTGTGATACTGTTCTGTCTCACAATCTTCCTTTATTTAACACAAACTTTTTTACTTATAATTTAACATAATTTTTTTACATCATAATTCTATTTTTTTTTTCATTTCTTATTTTTTATATTAGTTCTTTATACGCTTTTTAATTGCATTATACGCAAGTTCTTTATACGCTTTTTAATTGCATGTATGTACATATTATACATTTCTTATTTTTGTACATTCATATTTTCTCAAGAAAACAATATTTATAATATGATTATAAAATGTTGATATTTTTTAAAAAAAATTCGTAATATCATATATATTCATATTATTGTATTATGTATTGTATTATTCTTCTATAATTTATTTCAATTATAAAAATTGTTCAAGTTTATGGATTATGTTGTTTTTTAAATTCTACTTAACGATATTTATTAATTAATTCTACTTAACTCTTAATTAATAAACTCTCAATTATATTTTGATGACTGCATGATAAAAATATTTTTTCTGTAAAATATTATTTTATAATCTTACAATTAACGATATGTATTATCATTATTTCTTCTATCATTATTTATTGAAAGATAAAAATATCATTCTTTTCATCCAATTCCAAAAAATATATATCTCTGATATTCAAATAACGAGATATTTTAGATATTCAATTGAATTACTTTTAATAGAATAGAGAATAATAAAATTTTTTTTATAATAATATAATTGAATATCTATTTATAATAATATGATTGCTACCATCCAAAAGTATTAAAAACACTTCAAGATTGTACTTCTTTATTAATTTTATCAAAAGTATCGATCATACTATTTCGTGTTTTTTCCAACAATTTATTAATATCGTCAAGTGTTAATCCTTTCGTAGATATTGCTGGTAATGCTTCTACAATAACTCGACCTAAAAATAATCAATTATTAATTTGTATTTTAATATTAATTTTTATGCATAAATAAAATTTAATATTTATATAAAAGAAAGACTTACCAGAATCAAATCTCTTTTCTTCATTTGATAGAAAATTATAATAGGAAGAGAAAACAACTGGTATTATAGGTAACTGATTACGTATAGCAATATAAAAGGCACCTTTCTTGAATGCATGAATTTCACCATTATTGCGTCTAGTTCCTTCGGGAAATATTAATAATTTCATCTATGCAAAAGACATATAAAGAAAATGTTAATATACAATATTTATGAAAATGATTGATTTGCCTGCATATTATGATTATTAAATTACCTTTTTTTCTTTAATATAATCCGTGGCATCGTTAAGAATTTTTCGGGCTAAATTCGATTTCATCCTGTTTATAAATATCACTTTACCGAACCAACAAATTAAACCACTTGGCCAAATATAAAAAATTATTCGTCTTGATATAATTGTGCTTTTTTTCAAAAACGGCCATATTTGATACAGTCCAACACAATCTAAAAGACTTTGATGATTCATTATTACTATGCATGATCTCTCTTGTTCTAAATGTTCTCTTCCTCTTATCTCCCAACTTACTCCCATAGCTTTGGTAATAGGAGCAAATACTAGTGCCACTGTTCTGAAAATATATTTCAAAATATATTATTTAATGAATATAATATTAATAAATAGTGTAAATAAATTAAATTATCATAATAGCGACAATAAAATTAAAAATTTATTATTATTTCTTCTTTTATATAAAATTTAGCATATACAATTAACTTTCATAAAATTCTTTAATTATCTATATTAATTATATATCTATAATTGTTATATATCTATAATAATTAATATAAGAGATATAGATATTTCAAGAATTGTTTCTTTTTTTTTTTGATTTCATTCACTTTATCGTAGAAAAAAAATATTTCTTATCATTGAAATAGAAAAAAATGTTCATATTTTCTTTGGACGACACATGTCTTAAGAAAGATATTTAAAAATATGCTTCGATTTATTGAAAAAAAATTATTCTAGTTCTAGAATGTACTTTGTTATTTTAATTTCCATAATTTCTGGAATGAATATATATATATTTCTTTTTCGTTATAAATAATTATGAATAATTATAAATTTAAATATTAAATACACTTCAAATAGTTACTTACAATAAATTTTTTTCACTTCTTGGTAGACATATAAAAATTGGTAATAAAAAGAGTGAAAGTATGTTTGTATACAAAAAATAAATACCGAATTTTGTATAGAAACGAAAAGTTTTACTCATTTTATATAAGACAAGAGAAACACATATCAATAAAAGATACATTCCGAAATAAACAGATATTATTCTTTATTTTAACGTTAAATACACTAATATGTTGTATCGCACTATTAAAATCAATATTATAGTTTGTTAAAAAAATATAGACATTAATACACTGGTACAATTTTAAGAAATATAAATTTGAGAAAATTCTTTTCTGGTGTGAACTCTATTAGTCTCAATAACTAAATGACTATTAATATTCCATGCTCCTAGATTTATTTATTATAGATATATGCATCCTTTTTTTTATATTTTTTTATTGAATGTATATATGTATATGAATTATATAAATTTATTTAATATATGATGCATATGAAAATTAAAATAAATTAAATTAAATTAATTGAAATTCAAATTTTTCTATATTTGTATATATATTTTTAATATATATATAATTGTATATATATTTTTAATATATATAGAAAATATATAAAATAATTATACATTTCTATATAATGTATAAATTATAATTTATACATTAAAATTTCTTTTAAATAAATAAAACTATTTTAAAATTTTTTCTTAATAAATTTTTTTATCATTTCATGACGTATTCATGATTTAAATAATTAATTTATTTTCAATCAATTTATATACGTAAATTATTATATATATGTAAATTAATCTTAAATTAATAATGTAAATATAATGTAATTATAATAATATAATAGTTTTCATTGAATAAAATGAATATTAAAAAACTTCTTTTCATTATTTTTCTTTTTTCATTTCTTACATATTACATGTAAGAAGAGTTATATAACTAGCAAATAAATGCAAACAAATTTATACAAAATTTATATTGCAAAAATTTTTTGCATTGAATAAACTTGAGAGAAAATCTATTATTCATGAATTTGTAATTGTAAAATTACCTGAATTTAAAATAAATGATGAATATGCATAATATCATATCTTACGTAACAACATAACAATTTTAGATTGTAATCCACTTCTCTAGATGTTGGTAATTTATCAAATCTATATTGCAATTGTTCATATAAGTTATTTTATTGCTCTGTGTTCATATTATTTGTTTTTTGCATATTTTTATACATCGCATGAGCAAATTGTTCCCAAAACAATTTTCAATTATATTAATATCCAAGAAATATGCAAATCATGATAAAATAAATTTTTTTTTATTAAAATAAAATTGGAGCTATTTTGCAATGTATGTAGCTGCATTATTTTGTTGAAAAATATATTCAAATTTAGAAATATATTCTAGATAATTATTTTTTTTCTTATCAAGTTCAAATATTTAATATTATCCATTTTTCTATTGAATATTTGTCTTTTCAAAATAAAAATCATGACACCGTCTATTAAGATTTATATTTCTTTTCGTTCGAAAATATAAGTTTTCGCTGTCATTTCTATCAATTTCATAAAAGTGAAATTGTGTTTCGCTATTAACGCAGGTTTCTTCTTTTAATTTCAATCTCTTAGTCTTTCACTATCTTAATACACGATTAACACTTATATTAATGCCAATTTTCTTCATTATTTGTCTTTATTATTTGTTAATTGGACACTACACTCAAAATAGCTCATTTATTCCGATCAAACAACAATAATGTTCATCATTTTCAACATCTTTTTCTTTTGAAAAATTATGTGTATTCTAAGGCTTTTTTAATTATTTTTAACACTGATAAATATTGTTTTTTTTAATTCAAGAATCTATTTTAATTTTTAATCAATTTCTTTCCGAATTCCAGAAATTCAAGTCTATATAACGTAGTACTTTTATATTCTCACTCTTTGATAAATCACCGCAAAATGAACAGAAACCTTATAAACCTTGAAATCATTGAACAGTTTACAAACATACAGATAGAACATATTGTCACATTCTTCTATCTATCTATCAAAACAGTTTTTGCTTGTTGTACAAAAAATGTTAATGTAATGTTATGATTTATTTCCAATGAATTTCGTTCGTAATATCACGGTAATATTCGTTAAAATAAAAATATAATAAATTTGTTAATAATAAATATGAAATTACACATGCATCATTGAGAAATTAAAAATAGCATGTATACATATTTTGTCATCTTCTCTAACTATAATCAAAATGAAACAAAATTTTTTTAAATCCATTAATCACTATGATACGATTTCTATAATCTAAAATGTATTATGTCAAGATTATATTAATGATTAAAAATATTCAAAATGATATTTGTGTTTTTTCTTTTTCAATATTAATCCCTGTCAACCCTATCATAGATTTAATATTTATTATTAAAATGATAAATTTAATATTTATATATTATATAGCAAAAAGACTTACCAGAATCAAATGTCTTTTTCCCTTATTGTTAAATAACAAATAATAAAAAGAGAAATATTGGTATTGGCAATATTGGTAATTGTGCACGAGAAAGGTACTTTTTTTAAATGCATCAATATTACGTCTGCTTCCTTTGAGAAATATCCATAATTTAATATATAATATTTTGAAAATTAATATAAAATATATAAATATTCACTTACCTATATGTGTATTATTTATTAAATTATCTTTTTCTTCTTTTATATGATTGATAAAATTATTAATAATATTTCAAGCTTTTTCTGAGTTATATTTATAAATATTATTTTACAAAACCTTTTATATGTTCTTATATATATTATTAGATATATTAGATATATTATTTATATATTATTATATTTATTATTTATACATATTATTATTTATATATTAAATATTATTTAAATATATTAGTTATATTTTTCTTTTCATTAAAATGTTAATCTTATTTATTATTTTTTATATTTCAGTTTTGATTTTCTATTTCTCATTTTTTAATTAATTATTTATTGTCATTATCTTTCTTACATTTTATCATAAACAAATTAATTTATCATATGCAATCTTTATAAATTTTAAGAATCTATTGTATTAAACAGATCATTGTCCAATTTTATTATTTCTTATATAATTTTTACTATTTCTTACATCATCATTTCTTTTTCGTTATTCTTTTTCAATATCTACTTAGGCATTTTTCTCTTTAAAATAAATACTTACCCAGATCAAGAAAATATTTCGTTTTTAATAGAAATATTTAATATAACGCGTTTACAGTACAATATTTTCACTTTCTGTCACATTTTCTCATCATCAAAATATATAAATTCTAAGAATGCAGGATATTAAAATATGTTATAAGTATTAAAATCGATAAAAAAAAGAAGATAATCGGCAAATTTTTGATTCTTATGACTTCAAGGAAGGAGATCTATTCACATGATTCAAGTACAATATATCTTCCTAAAGAGATCAAGTTCTCATTTGATCTTTTTTATTTTATCGTTTTATCATTAAATTTAAAACATTGAATAAAATAATCATTATGCATCGCAGCATTTTTACAATACTGACATTCATTATCCGCTATAATTACAATTATACAATAAAAAATAACAATATCTAACTTATTTGAACTTATATTAACATGATACTTTTGTCGCTTTTATTTAAGAACTACTAGTATTATTTGAAAATTGCATCTCTCTATTAATTTCATTAAAAGTATCGATCATAATGTTTCGTGTTTTTTCCAACAAACTATCAACATCGTCAACCGTTAACCCTTTCGTTGATATTTCTGGCAATGCTTTTATAATAACTCGACCTTGAAATAATCAATCGTCAATGAGTATTAATTTTTGAAGATTAAACAAAATGTTTAATATTTTGTACAAGAAAAAGGTACTTACCAGATTCAAACTTCTTTTCCCTCTTGGATAAGAAATAATAGGAAGAGAAGACAACTGGTACTATTGGTAATTGATTACGTATAGCAACGTGAAAAGCACCTTTCTTAAACGAATGTATCGTACCAGTACTGCGTCTGGTTCCTTCTGGATATATCCACAATTTAATCTGAAATGCAGAAGATTAAGATTATTTTAAAAATTAATTAATATATAATATATAACTATTCATTTACGTAACATTCTTGTACATAACATTTATTAAATTACATTGTTTTCTTTAATATAATCCGTGGCGTTATTAAGAACAATTCGAGCCGAATCCGAGTTCATCCTGTCTATAAATATTAATCTACCAAGCCAAGCAGCTAAACCACATGGCCACAAATAGAAAATCTCTCGTTTCGCTATAGCTGTGCATTTATTCATTATTGGCCATATTTGATACATTCCCAAGAAATCTAAAAGACTTTGATGATTTGATACTATTATGTATGTTCTGTCTTGTTCCAATATTTCTCTTCCTCTTAATTCCCAACTTACTCCGATGATTTTAGTAATAGGAGCTACTACCATTGCTAGTAATCTAAAATTATATTACACGTTATGATATATATTTATAAATAAACTTGTATTAATATGAAATTTAATACAATAATTATATATAGCATAATTAATATATTCGTAAGATATCTTAAAAGAATCGATTCTAAACATAAAATAAAAATTTCGATTAAATATATAACATATATAACATAATTTATTTATGTTATAATCAAATTATAAGCAAATTTATATTAAATAAAATGAGATGGAGATAGTGTTATTCTATCATACTTTTCATTCAACTTCATGCAATACAAACTTTTTGAATTATTACTTAACAAACAAATAACTTGAAAATTTTTCTACATTAATTTTTGTTTTTGTTTTACTCTTTGGAATCGATTCTTTAAAGATCATATTGCAATCAATAAATCTACAGTTTAATGAATTTGTTCTATAATAAAATGAAAGTTGATAGATATTCAAACATTGGTGTGATAGAAAAAAAAATGACATAAAATATAGAAAAATATTCAAGGGAAAAAGTTATATTCTCTAAAAAAATAGTAGATGATTACTAACCGTAAGTTTTTCACATTTCTTGGTCGAAATATAAAAATTGGAATTAAAAAAGCTGTAGATGTTCCTATATGTAGGCTAAAGATGACATATTTGAAATAATAACGAAAAGTTCTGCTTCTTTTGTATAAGATGCACAACATTATAAGAATAATTGTAATAAAGATCATTCCGAAATAATTCGTCATCATTTTTTATAGTCACAAAGATAGTCATGCACCAAAAGGTTTCTTTTATATTACAGCACTAAAATCAATCACGCTTCTTTATACTTAACAATTTCACTTTTATAATCTCAACTGTGAATAACAAATATCTTTTTGACAAAAATCATACTAAATATTAAATTATATTAATCACACCACTTAACTATCTTCTTTCACTATTTGATTTTTTTACTATTCTTCTTCTATTAAATATTTAACAATTTCTGTCTAGATATATACTTTTATTTGTATATATTTTACTTAATATATCTTCAACGACCAATCATAATTGAGTTAAGCTTTTTTATCATATGTAACAGACATAGGTTAGAGTTCAAATTGTAAAATCATGTTTAAAAATTGATACGACGATGGATTTTTTTTTTTTTTTAATACGATTTTAACTAAAAAATTTAAGAATACGCAAATTATTTACGATTCGAGAAGTTGACACGTGAACAGAAGAAATGGAAAACACACATTATACGCACAGTCGAATGTTAAAATTTATTATCTTTGTTTCGCATCAAATTGAACAATTTTATAAAGAAATTTAAATACATATATAAATCACTTTATGTATTACAAATTGGTCGTTTATCAGTGACCTTTTATTTGCCAATAATCTCTCTAAGATTCTTCTGAATATAGTTCAAAATGTATTACATTCAATGCAAGCGAATACTAAAAGAATTCTATTTATTAGAATGTGGAATGAGTTTATATGTACTTCGATATGGCCTTGCTTTGGAAATACGTATATCATAATTTTAAAAATCTCTTTTGTATTAGATAACTACAACACAGATGGTTATTTGAATAGTCGTTAACTGAGTCACAAATAAATTGATCATAATATCAAATTTTTTGTAAACAAAATTTATCATATAAATAAAATATAATGAAATAACAATTGTTAACGAGGATTATTAAAAATAATATCTCTTATAAAATATTTAAAATTGGAAATCTATAAAATATGAAGTAATGATGAAAGACAAAGTATTAGCAGAATGATATCACAAATTGTCTAAAAATTTATACAAAACGCGATTAGAACGAGTTTGACAATAAAACTTGTTTTCAAATAATTGATCAATTTTTCAGAAGAAAAACATACATAAAATTAAAAAAAAATTACATATCAGCATTTAATTTTTATTTCATTATATACAAATTTATCTTTTAGAATCATGAATCCATCCAATATTTTAATAAATGCAGGAATATGAGAACAATCAGATCCAAAAAAGAAGCAAATATAAGTGTATTCGAGATATATATTTTACATTTTTGTATTAATTAATTTTTCAAAATATAATAAAAAATATATATAAATGACCACGCATCCAAACGTGAATTTTTCTCATTTCTACTATGATGCTAATGAGAAAAGATAAATAAATCAAGGAACGCCCATAAAGAATGGATCTTTATGAACTCGTAACTTCCTCAATATTTTTTCCCGCTAACTCTTTGTCTTGTAAATGCAACGTGCGTTATTTAACACATAATGAAGAAGTTTAGTTGTAATTTAAAATATACCGTATTGTTAGGATTATTATCTTCATTATCATTTAGTTATATAAAGTTCTAAGAATTCTAAATTTTTTTTATTTATGAGATTCGAAAATCTACGCGAAATTCGACATGTACCTTCCATGAACAAAATTGTCATGTGCTAGATTTTTATAAAAATTATGAATTTATGAAATTTTTTCATGAAACAATTAATTTCAACCTGACAAAATATAAAACTTTATTATGACAATATATTATCAGAAATTTTTCTTTCTTTAAAATCTAAAAAAATATTTTGATATTTATTGAAACTATTATTTTTTTTTACTTCAACGATCACAATATTTCAACATTATCTAAAAATAATATAAGCAAAAATAATGTTCAATAGACCTTAATTATATAATTTAATTATAAACTAAACACGATTTATTATACTTTTTTCAATTAAATTAAACACACAGTTCTTGAAATGAACAAAAAACTATTACGGAGTAATTTGTATCAAGAATTAATCCAAATTTATTCTATCGTAACTAATCATCTGCAAAAATCAACATGTTAAAATTCGAAAAACTTCTGATTCAAATTTACAATTTTTTAAAATCAAACCAAATATATTATGAATATTAAACCTTTTATTTGCCAATAATATAGACACTTTTGCGACGAACCAATCATCTCATTCGAATTCTATTCAAACCAAAACCGATTCTAAAAAAAGAAAAAAAATCACAAAAAAATCACGAAAATTTTCCTCTACCATGAAACCATGATTATCATCTTTTGCATAGCGATTTCTGTTGGCTTGCCTTCGTATACGTGACCATCTTGATAGGTGTGCAGCAGTTAACACGGGCAGAAACGGTGCAAAACGATACTTCTCATGAAATCACGACATCGATAAACCCTTAACGGTGCATCTGACAACACACAACGCGGAATTCCGGGCCGTAAGATTTTCAATTCGATTCGCTCGACAAACTGGCAATCTAATCTTATATAGAACGCTTTTTGATTCGATGCTGTTGCTCGATATACGATTTTAACGAACACGCTCCCTTCAGGGATCCACATGAGAATAATGTTTACGATTAGATTGATTGTTGCCAGTGTTGATAAGCTTATCACGAGTTTCGATGTGTTTGGTCATGTAATTCGATAACATAATTAGCGTTGATGGACTTTGGTGTGATATTAGAAGAGCTTGAAGAAGATGATGTGATCTTTTAACACATTCGGAAGAGACTTGAATCGATATGATAGATTCAGGTCAGTGTTTTCCAAAAACTTGATCACTAGAGCTATTCTTTAATTCTTTTGGTATATCGAATATCGAGAACAAAATTTTCGATCTATTCATCCATGTGTCATGTGTTCATTTTGTGATGATTTTTAAATATGTTATAGAGACTGAGATTTTTAGGAAATATTTTTAAAAAATTTAAAAAAGATTGATTACGTAAAAAATATATTATATTAGGAAAAAAATTATTATAAAGGAAAAAAATTGTTTTAAATCTTATCCTCTATTTAAAAATCATAAATAAATATCAATCGTCAAGTTTACTTTAAAAGTTTTCTTGAAATACTTGGTTGTATAAAGAATTATTTTTAGAAATTATGCTATATTAATGTTAATTAATATACTATTATTAAATTTGTGTATTATGTGCTAAATATAATATATTATAAATATAAAAAGATTATTATATGTTCAATTCTTACTTTTCTATTTGATATTGATCTAAGATATCAGATTTTTAATATAATATTACTTAAGATTAATTAATTAAAAATAATTTGAAAATTATCTAATATTTTGATTCTACTTCAATCTACAATGATTATAACTAAATATAACTCGTAATCAAATTATCGAAAATATTTACTATCTCTTTTCATTCCTTAACATTTCGAAACATCTTATAAAAATAATATCTTATTTTTATTGTCATTTTTCTCTGTCTCTATAAAATATCTAAATTTTAATCACCGTTTTGAAATATATATATAAATATAACTTTTTCAAATAAATATAGACAATATTTTTTATTAACAGTTAAATTATTAAATTATTAGCAGTTGATAAATTATTATTACCGGATAGAATATTTTAATTATAGCTTAACTTTAAACAAGAATAATTTTGCAAATTATTTTATTAAAAATAGAAAATCCGAAATTTAAGAATTTAAGAAATTTGATAATTAAGAACGAAAATTAGAAAATTCTATGTTTCTTCTATATAGATTGATAAACTGCAACGATTAATTTATATGTAACTAATATTAAAAAAAAAAAAAAGAAAAAGAGAAAAAAAGAATTACGTATTCCACATAATGATATTCCAGATAATGATATTCAGCTTGCGTCAGAGCTTGTTCTTCAAGGATTCGGTTCTCCATTTTTAAAGGCAACGACCTCACCGTACACACTGCCTTCTCCATCTTATGTGGCCATGAAGTTTCTATCGTATCCATGAACATGAAATTATTTTTCATTCTCGATCTATACTTAAATATCACATCAAGTCGCGTTGAATCAACCCAAGATCAGATGTTAAAGGCTATCAAGACGACCTTCAATATTTTATAAGCATAATATACTTCAAGAGATCAGTTACTAGTGATGGGACGAAGTATACTACGAGTAATAGAATACGAGAAAATGATATATTAAAATACAAAAGGTCCCATCAGTAATTATATATATATCGATTAATAATAAAATTTCAATTTATTTTTTCCACATATTATACGTTTATATAATATAAATTTATTTTTATATTATATATTTTAAAAAATAAATCGAATTTTAATGTTACTTATACTTTGATCGATCGAAAAATATATTTATTTAAAAAATAGCAAAGAATGCAAAGAAATAATATTATAATTACTCGAGTAATCTTTCTCATTTAAAATGAATGATTTCGAAACATGTTCTTCAAACGTTTTTTTTTTTTCACGTATCAACATTAATGATTCGATGATTTCTATGATAAATCTTGCGTAGCAACGAACCATGACGTTGGATTGGTCCATTAACCGAGCCTTGAAGTACACTTGTTTCTTTTTTCTTTTTCTGTTTACTTCGATTATGCATGCCATTGCATGCATAAATTTTATTTCCTTGGAATGTACTCTTATCTGTACTCTTAATTTGATCACATTTTTCTGATTTCTTATAAAAGAATCATGATTGTTACGGGTGAATGTATCTTGAAATATCGTTTATCGAAACTTGTATGAATAAAAAATAGTAAATCCGAATGTATGAAGTATCTTCAGATAAGGTTTTAATTCTAAACTTGCAAAATCATTTTAGTTTCTTAATTAGAACATATATTATATAATTATTTAGGATGAATAAAAATGAATAAAATAAAATATATTATTTATTTTTGTTCTTAAATCTTTATGATGTAAATTGTAAAATATATACATTTAATAAATGATTTAATCATGTTGCTTATATAACATGAAATTATTAGAAAATGCGTAACAATACAATAATTAAAAATAACAATGAAATATTTGTAAATTTTATATAATATCTTAAATTGTATTTGCAATTGAACCAATTGCAAATAAAAATTTTAAAATTATATTCGATTTTAAATTCGACGAGCCATTGAACGAAGTGATATACTAAATTCTCTGTTCAGTCTCACCTGCTGTGCTCAACTTTGGAACTTTCTTCCTTTTCCTTTTTTTTTTTTTTTTTTTT